GGCACATTTCTTGTAGGCCTTTTCTAACAGTGTAAGCTTCCATCAAGCGCTCATGAACCCACCTTTGGAGGAGTCTTTTAAGGAAGGTATGGACTGTCAGCAGGTTAGTAAGCACTTTTTGCCCTTGGGAATGTAGGGGAAACCAGGTTATGGATCTGTAAGTTGTGAGCATCACATGTCCTAAAATAATCTCAGCTTTGTTAGACTCTTGACTATACTCCACTTCGGGGGATGTCACATTTCATTGAAACTCCACGTTTACTTAATATAACATAGCCTTTGCAATTCTGCCTGCAAGCTGCAAACTTTAGATATATTTACCCATTTTTTCATAATGAAAACATTGGGTCTGAAATAACTAGTTTTCATTAAAAAAAAATAAGTGTGTGAAATATAACACCATGATATATTATTTTATGTTTCAAGAGTAAATAGGTCACTTTTCCAAATATGTGTTCAGGCCCTGGAAGAAAAAGCCCCCCCCCCCCCAAAAAAAATTACATTGTAAAAACCAAGTATTTTCTTTGTTTAAAATGAAACTATAGCCTTTTTTCCAGATAAAAGCAATTACTTCATTCCAATCATTTGTTAAATATGTGCTTAATGCTGTTTGTTTCCACTAATTCATGGTGTTAGGATTTTAATTGATCAAGTTTTAGACACTGGGGGCAATACCTCTGCAGTAACAGATAATGGAAAGTGTGTCTAATGGATGAGAAGATAACAGAATTAGGAGAGATGACAGATAAAGCAGCACACACCGATAAGGGATAGACATTTGAAATGCAAGGACCGTGTACTTATAATTGGATTGGCCAGGATATAGTAGGGAGAGGCAATAAAATAGAAAGGTATTGACCTAATTATTTTTATGGGATGTTTATTTTGTACAGTGGAGACATTAGAAGATGTAGTAATAATTCAATAAAAGGGGCTAAGAAATATATAATTAAATATGGTATAACTATTTCATAGACTTAGTATATCTATATATTCATATCTATATTATATACTTAGTATATCTAATCAAATACTCTTAACAAGGTAGAAATGTAAACCTACTATAAGGGCTTTCCAAGTTGAGGAAACCAGGGAAGAAGCCCAGGATAATGCCAACACTAGGCATAATACTAAAACCAGAAAGCTTTCACTCACCGTCAGAGTAAACCATATGTTTAGGGGAGCAGAGGTCCCCACAAAGGACCGACCACTGACACTCAGCTATGGTTTAAGAGGCAAGTAGGCACTTTGTAATTAGACAAATACAACAATCTGAGAGATTGGCAAACATTAATTTCATGCTTACTGATGAATTCTACAGGTACAAGCTGATTGAAGAGCATCAACCCTTACCATACTAGGTAAAACTTACTGATCCTTGAATATGAAAGCCACCTACTAGAATATGAAGCCACCTGCTCTCTTTATGACTCTTCAATCTTTCGGACATATTTACTGAATAGTGACCATATCAAAACACTGTGCTAGGCATGATGGAAAAACAAACAAGTATGTGAAACCTGGTACCTATCATTGAGGTCATAACTTGATATATATATATATATATATATAGAGCTATAGAATAGCTCTAAATTTGAATTTTATTTCCATTACTGAATTTAGAACTTTGAGGTAATTGTTTACTTCTCTATCTTTCAACCTTTCAAGGTTGTTGTTAGAATGGATATATCATATATCAATATCCTTATTCATACCAAAACCTTGATAAATAGTAGTTTTTATTATGTGTTCATACACCTAAACTATGCTCACTTTCACTTTCTTCAAATAGAAGAAGGATATAGGAATTAGAACAAGTCTATTAGTGAATTATTAGAATTTTGATAATTATAATATAGGACTTCAGAGAAATATTACCCATTTATTCCAAATTGGCTTCTATATAAATAGAATTCCATAGATGTAGACTGGTGTGCAAACAGAGAATGGTTTCATGGATTCTCATGCTGAAATTAAAAATAAAGAGCTTGAAAAGAATGGCCCTTTACTGAGTTATCATATAAAACATTTATTACTAGTAGAGAACTAAAGAGGATTCAAAGAAATAGAGAATAATTAGAAATATAAAATAGTTTTCTCACAGAGATAATTCAATTGGTTTCCCAAAGACAATAACAATAAAATAAATCTCCAGACGAAAGGGAAAACTGAAGGGAAAGTAAGGGTAATGACATCTCTTAAACTAAACAATAAACTAAGCACACAGTATAACTTAGTCATTAAGAGCATGGATTCTGAGGTCAAATTGCCCAGATTCAAATCCCAGCTCTGGCGCTGCAGGTCTTTGTGCCAAGTTCTTCACATCTCTATGCATCAATGTGAGAAAAATATTAGTAACTATCTCATTATATTGTTTTGGTAAGTAACCAGTTAACATATAAAAAGTGCTTATAACAGTGCCTGGCATATGGTAAGTCCTATCATCATCACAGTCATCATTGCCGTCATTATTAAAATTATAACTATATATATAATATATATTATATATATATGGTGAGCACAATTTTAAAAAGTATCACAAAAGAGGCAATTTCATAGAGCTAAGAAAGAATGTGCTTTTGCATGATTATTAACTTGACTGCAGTTAGTTAACTTACTTGATGACAATACCATGCCAATTTGTCCAAAATCAAAGGTTTGATTTCCTGTGAGTCTGCTGGCTACATTCCGCGATCTCAGATTAATACACTAGCACTGTATTCAGTGAGTTTTTCTGGTTTTAACAAGGTGACTGGTGAGAAATGTAAATTCATAAATAATTTTTACCAAAAAATCAATCTGTAGTTACATTCTCATTGATCATAGTTTGGTCGTATAGTCTTTATATATTATAAATTCTAGTACTGGAAAAGTACTTAAAGATAATCTGGAGCCATGTCATTAATTTTTGTAAAAACTAAATAGACTTGCTTGGCCCCTGTGGCTCAGTTCGTTAAGCATTGCCCCACGTACCAAGAGGTTGCTGGTCCAATTCCCTATCAGGGCACATGCCTGGATTGCAGGCTCAATCCCAGTAGAAGGCATGCAGGAGGCAGCTGATAGACGTTTCACTCTCATTGATGTTTCTATCTCTCTCTCCTTCTTCCTTCTTCTCTCTCTAAAAATCACTGAAAACATGTAAAATATAAATAGACTTAGAGACAAAATGTAACTTCACAAGATCACTTTGAAGAAAGAGCAAGAACCCTTAGACCATGTTTTATTGAGTTTTGCTTTATTTTTCAAATATCCTACATTCATTACATATAGAATGCTTTTGTTATATCTGAGAAATTCCTACTTAAAAATATATTTCTGTAGTTATAGTTTATTATTCTATTATAAAGAGCTCAGCCCCAATGACAGAATGTAGGACTTTGTTATGATAAAAATGGGAAGCTATGTTATGGTAGTGAGTGTGTAAGGTAAAGATTAACATTAACTGACTTAAATTTTTAAAATATCACTTTGCCTTAAAAATAGATGGTGGGGAGAAACAAGGATCACTTAGATTATTTCAATAACCCACATGAGAGATGATGGTGCTTGGACAAGGATGATAGCAACAAGAGTGGCAATAAATAGTTGAAGTCTGGATATGTTTTGATGGTAACATCAACAACATTTCCTTCTATGTTGGATGTGAAATGTGAGAGGGAAGAAGCGTCATGGAGACAAGAAAATATAAATCTTCATTCAGAAAGTTCTAATTTTTTAAATTACATGTCTCTTATAATCTTCATCATGATTTACTTACCTTTACCTCTTTGAAAAAAGGTTCATCACCATCTACACAATACATTCTTGTGAATCTGGAAGCAGCCAAAATTATGCATTGTATTGTCAAAGAAACTAAACCTTTCTTTAATGGCTTCTGGCCTCAAAGGAGTTTATCATTTGGTAAATGAAAACCCCTTTAAATAGGAGGGAGATATATTTGGACAGCATTACAAATGTAGCTCAAAATTGCAACTTGGTGTTAAACCAGAATGCTCTGGACATGTCTGCTGAAATGTGGTAACCATGCCCACCAACTGTCCACTGGAATGAGTTAAAAAACTGTGGTACATCTATGCAATGGAATAAAAGAGGAGCAGTTAGTGTAAAATTCATCTTCACAAGAAGTGCCGAATCAAGCATCTGAAGGGAAGGCTACTTCTAGGCATGGTGTAGTGTTAACCACTTGGCTTTGTCCCCTGCTCAGCTCCCTATGGACTCATATCTCCCCCAGGGAAGAAATAGAGCTGTGAACAAAGAATGAAGTAAAAGCTGTTTTCCCCAAAATCCTCTTGGATATGAGAGTAAAAGCCAATACCACACTGAGGGACCTCATGGAACGTAGCCCAGAAAGGCAGAGAAGCGCCAAGTGTAGCATAACTTTGGTATCTCAAAGGCTCCATGCATCATAGGCCATAACCACTGGTGCAGGAAGCAGTGTCCTCAGAAACTCAGATGTTCATTGTGTTGCTGCTTCCCCAGGATGTGTCAGGACAACCCAGCAGGGGTGGGACAGAAAAAAAAAAGAGGAGTGAAACAAGTAGATTTCACATGTAGCTGACTTATTTATGAGCAAGCACACGTGAGAATCTCAGAAATACTTGCATGAGCTCAGCTGCATTGTTAGCAGGAGAGGTTAACTACATTACCATCATTGACCAGCTTTTAAATAATAATGGTGAAATGAGTTCTTTATACTCCAATTACTCACTGCAGCATTTTGTATAATTGTATTTCACAATTAAGCAGTCTGTCTACCCGAAAAGCACGTATTTGCTACTTCTGTTCAAGATCTCCAGAACCCAGGTAGATAGCCTCTTCAGGGATATTAAAGAGAATGAATACCGCAAAACAGACTATTGTTCTTTTGAAAATGATAAACATGAGATTTAAAAAAATAAAAAACAAGCACCTTTATAAAAGCACTCATTTTATAAAAACAATTTAAAAGGCTGACTATCTGCGGGCCATCTGTCCTGGTATATATATAAGAACCTTATTTTTCATAACACTTCAACCATGCTGCTCACGTCCTTTCCAGTCATTAAGGAAATAATGTTCCTTCTTTCATGCTCCTTAAATGGCTTCACACACTGCATCAGGTGGAAGCTGCCAAAATAACACTTCATGGCAGTCTAACAATTTTACCCAAATTCAATAATTTTCTTAATCTTGGTTTATATTTTGACCTTGACTCCGTACTTCCGCATGCCTAGAGAGTACTTTTTGTTACTTTATTCATTTAGTTGGGTTTCTGTCCTACCATCTTCTAAAAAAAAGTCATTGAAGTGCCCTGTGCCTCTAGTTCCAGGTGATGGTGATATTAGTCTCACTACTTTTTTCATCATTACCATAAGCACAGGAATGGAGACGAAAGGTCCAGTGAGGATGTCCACACCACTACCACCAATTTCCTAGATAAGAGGGTCGGTGGTTGAGTATTTCAGCTGGGGAGATATGATTGTACTCTAGCCAAGAAAGGAGAAAAGGAGATCTGGAACATAACTGTGACAGAGTAGAAGATCAGTAAGGCTTTCATTTAAGTAAACTCAGTAGGCTCCTTGGAAAATTTTACCATTAGAAGATGGAAAATTTAACAAGATATCTGTTAGGTTAAAAACTCTATGAAACTACAGTGATATGGAAGTGATTCACACACAAGTACATGTGGTCTAAAAAGAAGAGCAGAGATCTTGGAATACATCACCCGCAATTCCAGAAATCGCATACTGAAAGCATTGCTATGTGCTATCCCGTAAGTGTAAGAAATGATACTATCAAGTTCCAAAGTTCAGCTACACATTTTCATTTTCACTTAGCCAACCCTTTAAATTTTAAATCGTAATATATATTTCTATAAATACTGCTGACCCCCATCCACTGGTACCTGTTAAGATTTCTGTGCTTATAAAGTATGAAGAGTGTGTGTGTGTGTGTGTGTGTGTGTGTGTGTGTGTTGGGGGTGAGATGAAAGTGGTGGGAAGCAAATGGGAAGAATAATTCTCTGGGATAAAACAGCCTGGCAACAACTTTCCATCCTTTTCTGAAATAGCCTTATCATCTTGTCATCTACTGGGCAACTCTTTTCTATCAGGAAAATGACAATAGCCCCACTCTCAGTGAGAAGACGAAGGAGGGGGAGGGGGGGAGGAGAAGGGAGACAGAGAAAGAGAGAAGAGATTGAGAGATTTACCTTCCGATGAGTGAGAACTCGCCCACCACGCCCAGGCGCCGCATGGCACTCAGGAGGCCCCGGACCGTCATGCCTTCGCAGAAGCAGACCACCACTCTCGCCTTGGGGAGCCGTTCTCGGAGCTTGCGCAGGAGTCGGTCGAAGCTCTTCTCCCCAGCATTGCTGTAGATTTTGTCTGAATGGGCGATGCAGAGACCTTCCTGGGCAGCCAGCTCTTTGAAAGCGTCCATTCCACTCTCCCCATAATTCCCTGTCCAAAAACAATCAGCAGATGTTCAAGACAACCTGGCAGCAGCCACACTCACACCTGGAATAAGGATTCCCTGGTCACTGGGAATGGAGAGGACCAAATAACTTGTCAATGTACCTGGGACTGAAGGAAGATCTGGACGGATCAAGGAGTGTGAGCAAACCATCAACCCTGAAAATAATGAGAAACTATCTAACTAGGGCATCCACAGTGAAACAAGTTTTGATAAATGAAGGCCTGCTGCCCTATTTTATAATCATGATTAATAGTGGCTGTCCCAAATTTTAGCACTGTGGGAGAGATCTGCGCATTGTGGTAGGAGGTCAAATAGCACAATGAGAAGGCCTGTTCCTTTGAGGGCTTGCTTCCCAGGCAGCCTGGTTAAGAGGTGGACACTTATGGTGACAGCAAGCCCTGCCACATTTCCATGAAGAGGGAGTAAGCAAAGCAAACGGAATACCTGGCCAGGCCAGACTAAGCAGACAAGAAATACATACAGGGTTCAGTCAAAATCCAACACCCTCTGATGAAGTGATAGGTCTATGGGAGATTTGGCCTTCTGTTTTGATTTTTATGTTAATGTCATTGCTATAATAAAATATACTTTAAAAAACTAAGAACTCATAGAAATCAATTAAATAAAACAAGTATCACATTGTGTCAATTCCCCATCTCTCAGTCTCACTGATAACTGTAGGCCCCACCTTAGTGTCCTCTATAGCTCTACTCCTTTCCTTGAGTTGATACCCAGGTAGATGATTCAATACAATGTCCCCCAGTTTCTCAACTCCCTCCATCCAATATTTCCCATAACCCAACTATTTCTACTTTTGACTTTGGTATCATAAATGTCACTAATAACTCTGAATGTGGCTGTCAAATATTCCAGACTTTATCCCTTCTTATCTTTCAAGCTCATATATTCTAATATCCATTCTCTAGCATTCATTCTACCTCACAGAAACCTCAAATCCATTTACCTCAATATGTTTCTTTCCATCCTGCCTCTCATTTACCTCATAGTCTAGTTTAGATTTTATAGCCCATCTTCCTTAGCACTCCCTTGAAAATTTTTTCACTCCCTTGTGTTTCCTTGACAAAACCCTAATGCTAGTTAAACCCAGCCATTCTCCTAGTCCATGTTTACACCTAAACGTGGCTGAAAAAAACTCATAACCTTGATGACTGGCTTTATTTAAAAATTATGAGCATAGCCTGGTCAATGTGGCTCAGTGGTTGAGTGACAACCTATGAATTGGGAGGTCACGGTTTAATTCTGGTCAGGGCACATGCCTGGGTTTCAGGCTCAGTCCCTAGTAGAGGGTGTGTTGAAGGCAACTACG